TTTGGCCAGATAATTTGACTTCTTGTGAGCTAAGCCCTGCTCTTGTGAAATTGTTTTCCATACCCCAAAAGTCATGCAATATACTAAATGTTTTGAACTTCAAGCATTTACTTTTCGCCAAAGCCAATTTTTCCCTACCTCCCACCCAAGCCCTGCTTCTCCCCCCACCCCATACCACTATAGCTAAGATAAACTCTGGAATGCATTTGTTCCAGGGAAAGTAGAGTAACAATGCCTAAATTTATAAGGTATAAATATACCCAGAGTGCCAATAAAAATATCTGCCCAGGGATCCAACTGAACGATTTTAGGTTCTAATCTTGCTAATTCTTTTTGGATTTTTTTGTTTGTTTTTCTGTTAATTAAAAAATATGTATTGACATTTTGTTTTGAGATAACAGATACTTCCCAAACAAACCCCTTTATAAAGTCAGTTTATCTATTGCTAACAGAAAGGAGGGATTCAGCCTTTAACTTTGGCAGTATAGTACTAGTATTGACTGTTGCCGTTAACCAGTTTGCTTTGTCTCCATAATAACCTAATTTACATTGTGGAAGTCATTGTGTATATTGTTCTTTTGGCTCTGCTTTCTTTCTGCATCACTTCATACAAATCTTCCCATTTTCCCCCTGAATTCTTTTTATTCATCATTCCTTATGGAGTGTTAGTATTCCATTATATACATATACCATAATTTGTTCAGTCATTCCCTCAATCAATGGACATATTTTTTTGTTTTCAACTTCTTGTTATCAAAAATTATGCTGCTATGGACACTTTTGTATATATGGATGTTTTCTTGCTGTCAATAACTGACTTGGGATATAATTCCAGTAGCAAGATCTCTTAAGTCAGAGTATAAACAAACATCTAGGTCAATGGATATAAACAATTCTATAACTTTTCTTGAATAATTCCCAATTGTTTTCCAGTTGTCAAACCAATTCACAGCTCTACCAAAAGCGAATTAGTACACCTGTCTTCCCTCATCCTCTCCAATAGTATCTTCCATATTTTAGCATCTCTGCTAGCTTAAAAGATATAAAATGATCATTCAACCTAACCTTGCTAAGTTTATGCTCAAATCCTAATATTCCTACCATGCCCAGGCTTCTGAACCTCCATCCCCATAACATCTCCCTAGAATCACCTCATCAAGTACTAGGGTCTATCAAAATGTATGCAGCCTGAAGATGATGGTCTTCTTCCCCAAATCTTCCCCTCTAACTCCTCCAAATTTCTCATTCTCTGGATTCAGCCCATGCTTTGATTTCAAATCCTCACCACAAGTCTTAAGTCCTCATGGAATACTACATCTAAAATGGGAAAGGATCTTATATCTAGTCCAATTCCCTGAGTTTTCAGATGAACATACTGGTCTAGAGTAGTTAAGTGACCTATCCAAAATCGCACATATGAGAAGTGGCCAATTCGGGTCTTGACCTCAGGTCCCATGGCTCCTGAGTTTAGTGTTATTTCCATTGCACTAAGTTGCTAGGAATACTTTACTTCCTAATTACCTTTGGGGCTTTTTTTCCCTACACAATCTCTGAGCTGAAGGAAACTTAGAAATATCTGTCAACTTTTAGGTATTCTTGACCTAGACCCTTCCAGAGTGAGCCATAGTGTCCTATTGTCCCTACATTGGGTCAGTGTATGTATATCCTGGGAACAGACATTGGCAATTCTTGCTAACTCAGAATTTCTCACACAGGATCTCACACTCTCCTCCTGTACTATTCTCCTTATGATAATTTCATGTCCATGAATCTTGTGTTCTCAATCAAACTACAAGCTTTCCAAGCATAGAGCCTATCTTAAAATGGTCAGTCCCAGTTTCATCCCAAAATCAACCTTAAAGATTGTCTAATCTGACCATCTTATTTCTAAATTTTACTGATTCTTGTTGTTTCCCCAGTCATTTCCATATATATACATATACATATATATATATTTAATTTAATAAAAAAGATGTTTATTAGCCATAGCATAGAAAATATATTTACTAACAATACTGCAACACTTAACTTGGGTAGTCTCAGCCCCCCCTTAACTCCATATGGAACTGCCTCTGTACAGCAGGGCAGGGAATGGTGACTCATGCTACCTTGGGACATCTGACGAATCTAAAGTGATCCAGATAAATCTGTAGCAAAGAAGTAGTTCCGCAAAACTAACCAATATAGAGACCTTATCTAATGGTGTATATGACACATGACCCCCACATCTCCCACTTCTCTGCCAAGGGAGGAGGGTGGGGAGGCGGGATTCATCATCTGTTATTTGGGACTGAGGCTGGTCATTACAATTAATCAGAGTTCAGCTATCAGTGTTGTTTACATGACTATAGTCACTTTGCCTATTATATTCCTAGTTTTATGTCTTTTTTTTAACTGCATCAGTTCCTATAAATTTCCCATGTTGTTCAGAATTCAGAGCACGTCATTTCACCAGATCACCAAGGAGGAGTGGACACTTGTAGGGAATCAGCTCAGAGGATTACTCCCAAGGTACTTATCACCTTGCACAGCAGAGTGAATGGACTGCCTCACAGAGACATGCTTCTCTTGACCCACCATCAGCAGGATACTCTCCGAAATATGCCTCCAGCAGTGGGTATGGGCTGCACAGAATCATCCTCACTGTTCCAAATGACAGGCACATCTAGGTAAAATGGAAGAATGGGGCAAGAGGTAGTTTGTAGGCACTTTGAGTAGCAGTCTGCTGTGGTCAGTCTCTGGTCAGGGTTAGGAGTCAATCTATGGCTGGATCACACAGTCAATCTGTGATGAAGCTCAGGGTGACTGTGTCACCAAAATCAGAATGACCAGTCTGTGACTGTTGTTGTGGCTGACGTTAAGAAGTCAGACTGTGGCTAAAGAATGGTGTTTGTCTCTTTCAAACCAAGTGACTCATGTGGGTATTAATTCTGTGACCTGGGACTCCTTAAGCCTCTAATCCATAGGTTCCCAAAGTGGATGACACTGTCCCCTGGGAGGCGTTGGAATGATCTGGGGAGGGGGTGTGGTAATAGCCTCAGGGACAATTGGGGGGGCATTGAATAAAAATAAGGAGGCAGTGGAAGCATAAGAAAAGGAGAGAAGGGGCAGGTAGGTGGTGAAGTGGATAAAGCACTGACCCTGGAGTCAGGAGAACCTGAGTTCAAATCCAGTCTCAGACCAGACACTCGATACTTACTAGCCATGTGACCTTGGGCAAGTCACTTAACCCCAATTGCCTAGCAAAAACAAACCAAAAAGAAGAGAAGAAAATTTTGAAAACTGTTCATACATGTCTCATCTGTTGTGTAACAAAGTTAAAGTTGTCATGATTTCATTATTTTCCAAATAAACACACAAAATGCAAGTTATAACTGATTAGTGGTCAAGTCCACTGATAGGTCTTAAGAAGCAGGTGTTGGCAGGCAAGCATGTTGTGCATTGTCGGGAAGTCCAGCATGCATTGGCAGGAATGTATGTGTGTAGTGACTTGTTTACAATATGACACTCTACGGTTATGTGTTGCAACATTGAATCATCAAAATTTCAATATAGGAAAAAACCCCACAAATTTACAATAAATTATTTAAGATGTGTCATTTTAAAAATAAATTTTATATTTTTTGAAATGATGCATATTTCAAAAAAAAACTGTTAAAGGGTTAAAGAAAGCAGATTTCCAGGGGTTGCTGAGTAATTTTTTTTTAAAAAGGGGGCAGTAGGCCAAATAAGTTTGGGAACCTCTGCTCTAATCACTCACTGAGCATAGCTGCCTAGATACGCTATTCAAATGTATTCAATTTCTGAGTCAGAGAGGCCATTGGAAAGGGAAGAAGGAGAGAAGGATGTGATACTTGGGAGCTGCTCAATGGTCTCTTGCCTTCAGAAGGAAAATTGTTATTTAAGCTCTTGATAATGACATAATGTGGGAGGGACAGCTTATTGCAAGGCAGGGGAAGGTGGAAAGCCCATGTGGTGGGAAACATAAATCTGTCACTGAGGTCTTAGAAGAAGCAGTTCCTGAAATAATGAAACTACAGCCACCAACCCTATGAGCAAGGATATATTTGAAACACAAGTGTGTTTGTGTCTGTGTAGATATGTGTATGCATACGCAAGCAACTGGCTTTCCACATGGGTGGATCTCTGTGTGTCTATGGAAGCATATCAGTGGTTCTCAAAGGGTCTGCAAAGGCACATAAGAGTACCTGGAGTTGACTACTTGGGCTACAAATTGCATGATTCTTATATATGAAAAGACTCCATCCAACTTTCCCACAGTGTGTCATGACTCCTCCTTACAAAGAATAATATTGTGCTGTGAGCAAAGAAAAATTGAACACGACTATGTATGTGTGTGCTTATGAATATGTATATTAAATGTATATGCATTGTATACTTGTATGTTGATATCTATGAGTATATGTTTCTCCAATGGGTGTAGCTCTGGGGGGAAAAATGTCACTATCATCATCATTATGAAATCCAAGACCTTAGCTTAGAGTAGCAGCTGTTCCCCTGCCCAAATTTTCTGGGTCTTCCTGTCTAACACAACCTACCTTGACTTCCTCCAAGTCCCAGCTAAAATCCTACTTCCACAGGAAGCCTTTCCTAGCCCTTTTTAATTCTTAATTATAATCCATTGGATTGTAAACTTCCTGAGGGCAGGGAGTACCTTTTTCCTCTTTTTGTATCCCAGCACTTAGTACAGTGCCTGGCACACAGTAGGTGCTTAATAAATGTTTATTGATTGCTTGATTGATAGTGCCTTCCCTCCATTGATTATTTCCAGTTTATCACCACACACACACAGAGCTGTTTGTACATTGTCTCCTCCATTAGATCGTGAGCTCCTCTGCAAGAACTCTTTTACCTTTCTTTGTATTCTCAGCCCTCAGAACAGTTTTAGGCACATAACAGGTAAATAAATGCTTTTGATTGATTGACTGATCTGATGCTCAATTCTAACAATTTCTCTCCTTCTGTGTTTTTCTTTGCAGATGAACAGGCCCATCCAGGTGAAGCCTGCGGACAGCGAGAGCCGAGGAGGTAGTAGCCATCTGCGTTGGCCCCTGTACCCAAAGGCTTATTGATCTTGGTCCCCTCATGGGCAAGGTTTTGACCCATCAGCACTCACTGTTCCAGTTCCTGGCCCTTGAGCACCACTTCTGCTCAGTCCCACCACACTGGGAACATCAGGTTGAAAGGCCTGAGCACTAGGGCCCTGGAGTAGGTTGGAAATTTGTGGAATTCCACCCACCCTCAAGCCTTTCTGCCTCATAGGCTAGGCTTGCCCCTAGCCATTATATCTCCCTTGCATGGGACTAGGGGAGAGGAAGGTCATGTGACCACTACCCTGGGAAAGCTCTGTCTGAGTTACTTTGGCCTGGGAGGTTTGGGTGGGTTTGTGGTGGGAGGGAGATGAGGGATGATGGTGAAGGTTTCAGAACAGGGGGTTGCTTTGGAGAAAGACGGGAGAGAAGTTGGGGCCCAAGAAGGGGAAGAGATTGGAATGGGGAAGGGCAGATTGGGGTTGTAGAGGATCAAGATTTGAGACAGGAAGTGGGAGAGGGTTTGGGGCTTGCCATGAATGAATGGTCATACTACCCTAGCACCTGTGATCTCTGGGATGGTCTGTGACTTGGTCACCCCCATATCTCTACCCTTTTTATCCAGTCCTGGGTCTCAGTTCCCTGCCCACTTACCTCCTCATCCCTTCCAGGGATGTCTGAAGGTAGCCTGGGCAACTGCTCCCAACATCTCTGATGAAAAACCTACTGTGATTATGACTCTAGGATCCCTGACCTGGGCAAGAAAAAACCTTGGGAAAGAGATTTGGATTAAGCATCAAGAGCCCTGAGTTCAAGTCCTTGCTATGCCACTAACCCTCAATATGATCTAAGATAAATCATGTCACTTCTCGGGGCCTCAGTTTCTTCTTCTGTAAAATGAGGGATTTGGACTAGAGGACCTCTAAGGTTCCTTCCAGCTCTGATGTTCTATGATTTGGGGGGGGGGTTACCTATGAGATGTTGTGATGGAGGTGGCTAGTATTGAGCTGGGCTCCATTAGAAAAGAGATTGGAGCAAAAGATACTACCTTCCTTACCTCAGACACACCTTGAGCATGTTTACCTAAAATTTGGAAGTAGGTTTGGTTAAAAGGCTTTCAAGGGAGATAGAAAAGGACTTAGGAAGGTAGAGCTAAGGCAAAATTAAAATAGTTGAGGACTGCATTCTGGATTAATAAAGGCAAAGGTACACAGAGTCAGGGCCCATTACATGAGGAAGGGAAAAGGATGCAGCCTTGCTCTCCAAATTACCACAATAGCTCTGAGCTCCCGCTAGTTAGGGGGATGAATTGTAGACTCAGTCTTGGGCTGTTCTTCTTTTCAAGAAGAGTGAATTCAGAGAACTTGCTCTCCTAGAAGGAAATGCAGACTGGGAGCAGAAATAGGTTCAGGAAGAATTTGGATAAAACCCTAGAGAGGGATGTGTTGGTCCCTGAGGAAAGCTGAGGTGCCAATGCAGATTTGTGAGTAGAAGAACCATGAGCCTGGCCTCCTTCAAACCATTCCTCAGGTCCATTAAAGCCAGGATTCAGGGCAAGGAAACCTAGATGCTGAGTCCAGGGGCTAGGATGTTGGATATACCCTAATCTCCTGTCCTCTCCTTCTGCCAGGTTTACTGGCTAGATTTCTTTCTCAAAAAGCAAGCCTTAAACCCATACACTCTGGATCCCATAGATTGAACAATAAGTCCCTATGCAAGCACCACTTAATGGTTACTTTTTTGGGCCCTCTTAACTCCAAGTGAGTGTGTGTGTGTGTGTGTGTGTGTGTATGTATGTATATATGTGTATATATATATATATATATATATATATATATATATATATATATACCCTGATGTCATGGTCCTCTTCCAGAACAATCTAAAGGGCTCTAAGGTCTAAAGGTTAAGTGACTTGTCCAGAGTCCCCAGCTAGTAAGTACCTGAGGCTAGATTTGAACTTGAGCCTTTCTGACTCAAGGTCCAGCATTCCTATCTACCAAGCCACCTAGTGATAAGTATCTTCTAAATTATCAAATCTAAGCACAATAGAATTCAGAGGAAGAAGAGTTCACTATCATTTGTGACATCAGAAATAATATATGAGCTATATGTGATCCATAAACATATGGGTCATTAAATCAGATAAAATATTTAAAGCACTTTACAAACCTTAAAGTGCTATGTAAATAGTTGTTGTTGCTGCTGTCATCAGAAGGGACTTCCTGAAAGAGTAGGGCTTTGAAGTAAAACTTAAGAGTATATAAGGTATGGATAGGCAGCATAGACATGGAAGGACATTCCAGACCAGAAAATATGTAATCAAAGTCAAAAAGGCAGAAAAGCACGTTACGTACTGGGGAGAGTGAGCAAATTGGCCTTGCTGGGAGGGAGGAAGCATCTAGAGAAACAAAGAGAAATAAGGTGTGTGGCGGGGAGAGGAATGGTTGGGTAGTAGGTTGAGGGCCAGAATGTAGATCCTACAATGCTAGAACATGTTGGTGTTTGACTTGATAAAAAAAAAAAAAGGTCCCGTCTATGACCTACACATTTGGAGAGAATCATCCATAATCTCTTTTATTAAACTGGGCTTCACCCTGCTCCAAACTAAATGTATTTTCCCTCCCTCCCCTTGGACACAAAAGTTTCTAACTTGCTAACCTCATCTCCTTTCTCCCATATATCTACTGCCTCTGACACTTGCCCCAAACCAGATTAATCAGCTCTTTTGTTCTTTACTGAGAGAAAGTACATACACAAAGGGAAAAAAAAAAGGAAGAGGGGGGACAAAAACCAAACCTAAATCTCTATCTATTAATTGCATATTCAATATTAGTCAGATTCTTCTAAGTCAGCAGTATTGATGGGCTATGTAAAAAAAAGGCAAGTTGGCTTTAAAATAATCTAATATATACTTAAATATTTGAAGCGAAAGGAGAGAAGATTATGTTTAAAGGAGAATTTTTAAAAATGGGACAATTGAGTCAGAAGGGAGAACCCGTGGCTATTTGGAAAGAGGATGAAGAAGGAATTGAAGAGGGAGAAGAGGATTGGTAGAGAGAAATTAAGAGAAGGAGGAGAATGGAAAAGGAAGAGGAAAGAAGAGAACAGGATAAAAGAAGAAAAGTAGGGCAAAGAATGATTGGAAGAAGAAAAGGTAGAATTAAAGGAGGAAGATAGGAAGAAGAGGAAATAGGTGAAGGCACAGAGGGAGCAAGGGAAAGGAGATGGAAGGAAGAAGAAGAAGGTGGAAAAAGGAGCAGAATGAGTACATATGACAGAGCTGGGGACTTGGATTCAGAAAACCTGCATTCAACTCCCTTTCCTGTTTCTTACTTGTTCTGTGACCTTGGGCAAGTCATATCATCTTTCTGAGCTTCAGCTTCCCCATCTATGAAAATGAAGTGGACTGGAATAAACAACCTTTAAGATCCCTTCCAACTCTAATCCTTTGACCCTTCTTGCTCTGACATAGTGAAGAGCAATGCTACACATTCTTTGGCCAAGGGGATGAGAGAAAGGGAAGCTTCCCTTCCCCTACAGTCAAAGGCCAATGAGGAACTCAGATGCTATGTTTGGACCTTCCAATTCCCTCCACTCTATGAATGTCCAGTATAAAAATAATATAACTGCCCTGAAACTAGCCATTTGGGAATCATGGAGCCATAACCTAGATGGCTTCCAGACCTAGCAGCTTCATGACGTAAGAGCTACTACTGCCCCAAGATGGGATAGAAAGTCCTCTAACTCACTAGTCTTCCCTCCTTCTTTGTCGTGTGTCTTTTCTTCCCCCCACCTAATTTTCCTCAAGTCTGCCAAAGGGAACCAAGCCAGTCCTTGGCATCTAGCCTTGAATCCAACCTCTGAAGGCATAGGACTTGGCCAGAGCAGAATGGCCATGGCAATAAGGTTTGTCTCCAACTTAATCTGCTTCTCCCTTACTCAAACCATTCCCCCATAAGATAGGCTGGTCTCCAACAATCCCACTCACATTAAGTGATTAGGGACTAAATGTGCTCACCTCCTCAGCAGGCTAGAAGAGGAAAGAAATGCAATGATGGTTTGTTGTTAGGTTGCTACTTTCATGTACTTTTCATGTACTTAGTTTCTGGAAGCACTGCTAGCCAAGTGTTTGTAAGTAAATGTTCTATCTACTGCCAAGGGTATAAGGTAAGTTTATGACTAGGGTCTTCTCTGTGGCTACTACTCAAGGTATCATCTGTGGAGAGAGATAGGAAAAGTCTATGTCTGGGATTATATGTCTTTAGTATCATAGATCTAGAGATGAAAGAAGCCTCAGAAGCCATCTAGTCCAGCCCATCATTTAACGAGAGAGGCCACTGAAGCTCAGGAAAGTGAAATAAGTGACTTGCCCAAGAGCACACAGCAATCAAAGGTGGGATTTGAACCCAAGACTTCTGACTCCAGAGTCTGTCCAATGTAGCATGCTGCCAGGGATGGTGAATTTTTCTCTATATGGAGCTAAACAGCCTGGGTAGGCATCTTATCTAAGACCTTGGCCTCTTCCTCTGCCCTGCATTCTGACCCCTGTATTAATGGGCCCTATGAGATGTGGAATGAAATTACTCTTTTCCCATTTACTATTCTCATTGGTTTGGGAGGAAGGAGAGGACTTTTCACTGATGTAAATACAAGGCACTACAGAATGTCTGTGTGGGCAAGGAACATTTCTAAGTAAGAATGTTTAATGAAGCCCTAGAAAAGTCAGTCTCCAGCCCCACTTAGTGGGGCCCTGACTTAGGTATAAGTTTTCCCAGGAGGTAGACAGCAGTTGTGTCCTAAACCCTGGTACTGCTGGTTCCAGGAACAGATTCAGCCAACTCCCTAGAGGTCCTTAGTGAAGAATAAATGGTTGAGCTTCATGGAGAATCAGCTGAATTTTTTTTAATTAAAAAAATGCATGCTCTTTCAAGGACAGCAAAATAATACTAGAGAGGTCGTCCACTACCAAGGCTCCCACTGCCAGGACTCCCTAGC